AAGTATGTTCTTAGACTTAAGATTTCCATGGATTACTGGCTTTGACAATCCTGTATGAAGATGTTCTAATCCTCTGGCTATACCAATTGAAATTCTACAAATGATGGTCCATTTGTGAGATTCACCATTCCCATCTGCCCATTAAAAAATAAGTAGTCAATTCAAAATGTTGTGCCTTGCAACTAAAATAGTCAGGAAAGTGGACAATAATTGAATCAGTTTTCAATAGAGAAGTTGAAGAAAGAAACTTCAATAGGCTAACCATTGTGCATAGAATAACATGGTACACCCTTATAATCATAACATGCTACACCCTCATAATCATTTCTTTCAGGTTAGAAATGGAAGGGAAAAGGACAAAGGTAGGGGCTGACAGAAACTATGCAACAAAGAAACCAATTATGATTGCAGTTTGTCTAAAACAGATAAAGAAATACTAAGAGAAAATTAATCCAGATCAAGACTTTTCAAATTCCACCCTGCTTTCCCCTAATGATATAAATAAAATGATAGACCTTCACAAAACAAAAGGCTACATCTCAAAAATTGAAAACAAAGTGGAAACACAATATAAGAAAAAAAATTTAGTCATTTTTACAGATTTTGATAATGAGTATTTTCTGTTTCATATCATTATAGATTTTTTTGTTTCACTACTTAAAATCTGAGATTCTCTGCCATTATCTGTTTGCTCTTTTCTGTGTTATCTTTAACCACAATGAGAATCCTCATTCCCTTCTCCACCCTCCCATCTTCCTAGAAAATATGAAATCTCATTTGATAACTGGATTGACCAAGGCAATAAATTCAAGAAATGTCTTTGAATTCAGATGATCAAGAAAAAAAAAAAAAAAAGGAAAATGGAAATTCCATGCAAGCTATAACTTTTCCAGAATTTTCTCTGAAGCCAAACGGAAAATGAAATGACTAGAGGCTAAAAAACTCACCTGTAATGAACTCAGCCAGATCACCACGCCTATAAAAGGGATGGATGAGAAGCTTTTCCCCTCTTGGACCTGCATAAAATCCCAGAAGAGGCACCAAATTTGGGTGCCTGATGCACCCCAAGAATTGAATCGTGTCACCAAATTCTTCACCTCCCACGGTACACACCGGCCTCAAGAACCTGAGCAGCCTCATTGTGTTGCTCCTGTGCAACAAGGCCTTGTACAAGGTGCCATAGTGGGATTTTCCTATCACCTCACCAGGAGCCTCGAGAATGTCAATGATTGTGAGGTCTTGGCCACCACTGAAAGTAACCAAATCTTCTAACTCGGACTGCTCACCCCGCTTCTTCTCTTTGCTTTCTACATCATTTAACTCATTTCTAGCTTTTCTCTTGCAGTAAAAGAAGATGACAACTACAAGAATGAGCAAAAAACCAGCACAGGCAAGAGGAAGAACAAGTTTTAGCATGCGGGGTTTTCTCATTTCATGAGATTCTGGATTCCCTTTGCCTGTTTACAATGAAAATCTGTACTTTCTCTGATAATGGGAATGAAGATCTGGGGCAGTCCTGGATAAAATAGAAACATATGTATATGGTCCAATCAAAGTAGGTAATAGAAGACAAGATTTTGAATGTGTGGAACCCAAGATTTTGAAAAATTACCTCTCAAAGACAAACACTCAAAAAACTAGAACTTGGGAATTGGGAATTAGGATCAAAAAGAGAGAAAGCTCAAGCATTCGCAGACTGACAAATTTTGAAGAAGGGAGGAAATCCAGGTTGAAAAACTCATCTAACCCATGTATTTTATCCCATTTGACCAATGTCTTAGTGGTTTTTTGAGCAATGAACCACTAGACTTACTCACCAAGAATGGGACAAAATCTATAATCAGTGTGTACACCAATTACAACATGATGACATGATTAAGATAATCCTATCCCATCAATTACAAACAGGTTAATAATATCAAATTAATGAGAGGTGAGTAAGAGATCACTATCGTCAACCCATTTCTTACCACACCTGAAAGCAATAATCCTAATCATAAACAAAACATCCAATTTAGGAGAATACTTAGCTTTGGCCTTTTCTCCTCTGAGGTATAAATGCGGCTTTCAATGAAATTAA